AGGGGTAAGTTTCAAGCAATTGATTCCCACACCAAACTCTTGATTCGGCTCAGAAATGTTCGTAGACGCCAGTTTCAGCGGACTGGGGATCTGCAGCGTAAATACGAAATGGTCGATCTGAATCGGCAGATCGCTTCCAGAATGGTCTCAATCCGGAACGAGAGTTTCGGGCGGCTCGTTCAGAACCTGGACGACCGTTCCAGACCATTCTGGAAGGTTGCCAAGGTGCTGAAGTCTCACCCCAAGCCCATTCCACCACTTAGAGTCAATGACGAACGGCTTATCACCAACGAAGAGAAGGCCAATGCGATTGGGGAGCACATTGCCCAGTCGCATTTGCTTGGCTCTAAAATCCCAAGTCCACTCGAGAACCAGGTTGCGCAGTGCGTCCTGACGTTAGATGCCTCCCCTTGTGCCGTCCCTCCAGAAGAACGGATTACAGAGGAACAAATTTGCTCAGCGCTGAAATACAGTAAGAACATGAAGGCTCCCGGGTTTGACGGAATATTCAACCTAGCGTTGAAAAATCTCAGCCCGAGGGTGCACTCGCTGCTAGCTGCCACCTTCAACAGATGCTTGGAGCTGCACTACTTTCCAAGCATCTGGAAGGTGGCAAAAATCATCCCGATCCGCAAACCTGGGAAAGACCCTTCACTACCGTCAAGCTACAGACCGATTAGCCTGCTCTCAGCGCTGAGCAAGCTGTTCGAAAAATTGATCCTCAGCCGACTAAACAAGTTTGTGGAGGAACATGACATTCTTCTTCCGGAACAGTTCGGGTTCCGTAAGGGGCATTCCACCAATCATCAGCTAGTGCGGGTGATGAATAACATCCGGAGTAACAAAGCTGTATCCAAGTCCACAGCCATGGCCTTGTTAGACGTCGAAAAGGCGTTTGACAATGTCTGGCACGACGGACTTATATACAAGCTTTGTAACTCCAACTTTCCACCATACCTTGTGAAAATCACCCGTAACTATCTCCAGCAAAGGTCGTTCAGGGTGTCGTTGAATAGTTCCCTTTCAGGACAATTTCCGATCCCAGCAGGTGTTCCGCAAGGGAGTCTGCTGGGACCACTGCTTTACAGCATCTACACGTCGGACATCCCTCCTCTAGGAGACGGTTGCGTGTTCTTTCTGTTTGCAGATGACACCGCGATAGCCGTCAAAGGTAGGATGCCTCGTGAAATTACGAACAAGCTCCAACGATGCCTTGACACCTTTACTGATTATGCCACCACGTGGAAAATCAAAATCAACGCCTCGAAAACCCAAGCGATCATGTTCCTTCACAGACAATCATTAAAACTTAAACCGTCTCCCTCCTGTACCGTAATAATGGATGGTACAAGGGTCGAGTGGTCCACTGATGTTACTTATCTCGGGATGTTGTTCGATGAGAAGCTCCTGTTCCGCTCGCACATAGAGAAAACCCTAGTTAAGTGCTCCGCCTTGGTTAGGTGTTTGTATCCGCTCATTTGCCGCAGATCCCGCCTCTCAAGGCAAAACAAACTGGCTGTTTACAAACAGATCATAGCCCCCGCGATCTTCTATGCCGCCCCGGTGTGGGAATCGTGCGCTCAGACCCACAGGAACAAAATCCAGGTTGCACAGAATAGAGTGTTGAGGATGATCCTAGATCGTCCATTCGACACAAGAATAGCAGACCTCCATCAAGAGGCAGAAATTCCCAAAGTAGATTCCAAAATTGATGATATGACAACTAAATTTATTCAAAAATGCAATCTTTCTGAACATGCTTTAATAAGCAATTTGTACATAGTAGGTTAAGTGTATATAGTAGAGTAGGTTTTAAGCTGTAAATAGTAGTATTAAGTAGTTTCTCTTCAAATTCTAAAAACAAAACAAACCAATCCCACCAAGGTGGTCGACCGTGTACTAAGTCTAGGACTAATTCTGTAAAACAAATTTTGAATTTTGCCCATACCTAAAGATGAAGAAAGCAATTAAATCACTTAGTAAAAAATTTATATGGTAATCGTCCAAGTTAAACTAAAATAAAGATCATTTAAACTAAAAAAACTAAAAAAAAAGTCGCCCGTTCCATCATTGTCTATCCGATCGTCGACCCAGCAGCAGAGCAGCAGAGCAGCACTACCAGAGCAGCGGAAGCAGAGCAACGGCAGCAGAGCCTGGGGGCGAAAGGGCAACTACGCCGAGTGCGTTGGTGCCAGTGCTCCGGTATACTGGGTCGCCGTCATGGAATGCCCAGCTGCTGCAGTTCTCAGTCGGTCGTATTCACCATATGCTCCGCAAGGGCAACTACGCCGAGCGCGTTGAAAAAATGGCCCTTTTCAGGGCCACAACATTATCAAGAAAGAGTTTAACGATTAATTTTCTAATGCCTTTCCGACACTTTTTTTCATATGACTTTCATCGGCCTCATGATATTCATGTGATTTTGTGGTGGGATTTTTAGCTATGTGAAATTCACATGGTTTTCATCCATTAGATACCTATGTGGTAAATTTTTTGAGTGTATGCTTCGGCAATCAAAATATTGAATTTCATTCCGCTGCATCAATGTAGGCCATAAGTCCAGGGCCACCGCAGCTCTGCAAGGTAGGGGAAATGGATCTAAGATTGGGCCCATCGCTAAAAATCTGCTATTTACCAATCTTATCTATATGAATGCGTCGTTGGGACGGTACTGATGGATATTTTAGGGCGCTATTGAAAATTTAGTCGATAGTTTAATTTTAGATATGGATGGAATGATAACACTGCACTGGTTAATTTCTAGGAATTCAAGACACGCCTACACTAATCAACCATCATCGAACCTACTCGATGAGGATATCAATTAACTAGGGAGAGCATGACAGAAAGATTCAACCATGTTTTTAATGGATTCATTTTATCACTCCTTGCGCACCACGAAGGAAACTGTTTTGAAAACGAAACTCTTTACCATCAAATTGGTCGTCCTGAAAAGGACGGATTTTGTTAAAGGGTGGGAACTTCGATCGAATTTGGGCCTTCTTTTCGGTCTTCTTGGGCAACAGGACGGCCTGGATGTTTGGCAGGACACCACCCTGAGCGATGGTCACTCCGGAAAGAAGTTTGTTCAGCTCTTCATCGTTGCGGATGGCCAACTGCAGGTGACGTGGGATAATTCGGGTTTTCTTGTTGTCACGGGCGGCATTTCCTGCCAACTCGAGAACTTCAGCGGCAGCCCGGTAGACGGGAGCACCGGCTCCAACGCTCGGCATAGTTGCCCTTTCGGAGTAGACGGTGAATACGACCGACTGGAAACTGCAATCCAGCGCGGCTCGAACGGGACTTTGCCTTTCCCTTGACTTTACCTCCTTTTCCACGTCCAGACATATTTAAATGTAAATAAGGTGATCTGATATACGAATGACACGAGCAGATGAACGCTGAAACTGTAATGATGACATTTTGACCGTCGAGGGTGATCTTATACCTGCGTCGAGTAGCATATTATGAATACAGGGACGGTACAATAAATACTGTGGGTAGCAAAATACTGAAAATGGGATGAGTGTCGGTTGTCTCTACGGGCATGAAACGAGACAGCGTTGCCAGTATTCCTGATTTATTTGATTTTCCAGATTTTCAATCGTCTTGCCAGATACTTACCCAGATATAATTCACTTATATGTTATTACGTTTATTTCAAGAATTTTTAATTATGTTCCGGATCTTCCCAGATTTTTTTTAAATATGTTGCTTTAGAGAATTTCCAGCCCAAAATGAAAACCGGTTGGACATGAGCGTTTCCGCATTCAGTCCAATAGAGGCGATGGGGGCAAGAAGACCATACGGGGCGAGATGGGCCACCGTTCGTTTGGGCATAATACCTATTAACTCAATCTATTTTTTTTACAAACTTGTTGAAAATGCTTCTAATATGCATCTCCATGAAAACCGTATCAAAATTCAATTACATGTCTAAGATAATAATGGAAATGTAACATTAGCTCAAAATCTCTAGAATATTATAAGATATGCAGTCAAGAAAACAAGCATCGCATTCACTATATTACATTTTACTGATCCGCTGGTTCTACAGCGAGCAATACACGTAACTGTTGCTAAAAGAACTTATGTTTCTATTTCACTTGATTCCTGCATGTTATTTTCTAGTGAAAACCTGTCAAAACCTTAACTTTTACTGAGGTGCTCATATTGCCCCGTATGGTTGTTGATCGGAGCAAAAACTGAAATTTTTCAAACATAATCATTTATTCAGTCTATCATTCCAAAACCACAACCAAAACGGCCCTTTTCAGGGCCACCAGTAATTCGACAAAGAGTTAGTTTTGAAGACAATTTCTTTCCAGAATATCACAGTTACACTTAAATTTGGGGACTATACTGGGGTGTGGGAACGCTGGAAGGGGAGATGCTGTCTGTCTTCGAACTACCAACATCATTCCAAAGCTCCTCCAGGGCGACAGAGTAGAGCAAACCCAACAACATCAGCCCAACAAAACGGCCCTTTTCAGGACCACCAAACTTTCGCAAAAGAGTTATTAAGGAATATTCCTAAAATATAATATACACAATTAAGTACAACACATAACAGACGTTATCCAACGCCAACCTTGCGGTCGTATCTAGTATACAACCCTTCCAACTTCAACCCACTAAACTCGCCGGAACCTCGTCCGATTGAGAAGTTTTGGGCCATCATGTAGGCCAGACGTCGTCAAACACTTAGGAGTGGTGTCAAGGGCAAGGTGCGGGCATTCGGTTATGGAGTGGAAATCCAATATATCCAATGAAGTCAAACACATAATATCTGAAATATATTGGCTTTATGGCATTTTGCAAACCTGTTCAAAAGCAACAAAAAGCTGCGTTTTTAAACAATATCCTTTCTACATTAACTCAAAATGTTGTTATAACTGTGAGAGCATAAGTTAATCAATGTTCAACATGTATTACTATTTCTAATTCTTTCATCGTTTCTCTTATTTCCACTCGTTTGGCTTCGACATGTGACGAAAAAGACTTGCATCGCTGGAAATAGCTCGTTTTCAAGAGCAATTAATCAAACGGTTAACAGAAGAGATGGCATCCCAATTGGACAACATGTCACCAGCAGCTAGTGCCGTCATGGTGCCACAACCTTTCCTACATGACTACGAGTGGACCTTCTCTAGGAGTTTCTTCTATTCGCTGACGATTCTAAGCACCATTGGTAAGTTTTTCCTTGTTATTTACAAATCGATTCCATGTTTGCGGAGCTATGAATGCTGCAGAAAACAATATCAACAATGTAGTAGTACTCGGTATGTGCATCAAGATGAGAAAAACCTGTTGGAGAGTTTCGAAAAGCAACTCATCGGAATCAGTTCGTTAAAGATGATACGTATGTTGCGACGGAAAAAAAAACTGAACACGCTGAAAAAATGTGTGCAGAAATAAATGTGTAAGAAGATTTCAATCTCACTTTGGCTTGTTACTTAACTTTTCTCAGCATCCCAGTGGACAAGTCAGGAACAAAACACAAAAGTTTCCCGAGCAAATGTAGAGAACTTTTCAATAAATTAAAAGATTTTCAAAACAGCAGAAAATAGTTCACGTGAATGCTAAAATGTATATACGCTGGTGCAAATGCAGCCCATGAAAAAAATAACATCGGAAAGACGACCAACTTTCCTGCAAACAACAGAATCAGTTAAAAGTTTGCGCTGCGAAAGAGTTAGAAACTGGATTGAGCATTGGGAGAAAATTTATTGTTTGTCTGATTTTCCTGCTGTCAGGCGTATATTAAACAATGAGTAAGGAAACAGTTTCCTTTATTGTTTAACAGGAATTTGCTGACCAATGAAAAGAGATCATCAGCCAGTGCAACATTGTAGCAAGCAGGTATTTCTTTGATGTTCTCTTATAATATAAAGTACTGAGAAGAGGAGAGATTTAATATCCGTTCTTACTGTTATGTACAATGAATTTTAATTTTCCGTGACATTGTTCATGTGCGACATACTAAAAGAATATATATGGCATTGCTGAATTACTTTTTACCACCGACAAACAGACATAACACTATGAATATATTTGATTGTAAAACATTGTCCATTAAAGGCCATCGTTCAACTGATGGCAGTAGCATTAAAACGTCAAACTCCATGGTGCCATCGGTAGCAACACTACAAAGCAACAAGTTCACTTGTTTAAAATTTTGATCCACTAATCTATTTAAAAAAAAAAAATCAAAAATCGGGCAATGCCATATTTAGATATTTTGGTTTACCATTTCTTATAATTATTACTTAAAATAAATAAAAACAAACAGTTGTTGTTTATTTTTCCCAGTAAGACATTATGCTTCTCTACATCTTCGTCTCACACGTTTCGATCAGAAAAGCCGTCTTCGTGCTACAATTTTTTGTAAAAAATTAAGAACGCCATTTTGAAAACTTTATATGATTATGGCCGTTTTTTTTCAAAAATGTGAATCATTGCCCATAACATATAATTACGCAAAGGTTTCATACAAATCGAAAGTCTGTTCAATAATTCAATTATTTTTCTCTATTTTGCCAGGAACAAATAAATTTAATGATTCGGTAACTAGTATTTGCATGATAACTTTTCAATTTTCACCAATTTTGAAAAAAAAAACTGTCGCTAACCAAAGTAATTATCAAATGTATCTAAAGTGCATTGACGTCAGTCCAACTTGCTTGGCAATATATATTTTTCCATTAGTTAGTTTTCTAAAATGAAATTCTATTTGTTCATTACTCCATGTATCTTAATCTTTTATTGGTTTCCATGCTTGTTTTCCTCGGCCTTATAAGGAGAAGTTTTCAACCCCGAAATATTTTTTTTTTCGAAACGTTTTTATTTTTCATTTCATTTTCATTTTCATTTTGCAGCGTTTGGTGGGGCAATGGAAGCGCAAGTCAATCCAAAGCCGAGGATAAAGGACGGGTAATGGCTGAATAGTCTATGCGGACCACTTGAACGCCATGGGAAAAGGAAGGGATTGAAGAGGCCGGTTATTTGGGGGTTTTGAGGAAATGACACATAGTGATGCTAAATGCAAAGAAACCGAAAATCCATCTCCCACTGATTCATCCTTTCACATATATACCAAATTGATATTTTAAAGCAATAATCAAAATAAACAGACAATACATTAAAAGGCTAGTTGCCAGTTGCTTTAAAGGCTAGTTGCCTCCCTAAGTGGACCCTCCGCATCCTAACTCTTCTGTTAATCCACTTAATGCTACTAGGTTGTCTAAATTTTCTTATTTAAGTTCGTTTGATGATTATGATATCCTAAGTAACAATTTTGGTTTTAAGAGGGTTCTGTAGACCACGATTTAGACTTGTAGAATGCTATATAACCGCGATAAAACCTGCAATGTTACTTGGGATCTCTAGTCTAATTTAATAAATAATTGAAATCTCTAATCTACCTACCATGCTTTATAAAGTACCTGTACTTGTGAATGTAAGCTAAAATTTACCGTGTTTCAAAGTGTTTTTGACTTTGACCTATATTTAATATATATTAGTTCGTCCCAGGTGACACCTTCAAGTGACTAAAATGCTTCACTTTGAAGTTAGTTTCCTAGCTGATTTTTAAATTACATAGGGTATATGCTTCAACTACGCTCACACGTTTCCACTATGTCGCACAACAAAAATACGTATGGTTATCACACAATAGAAGCACGCCACAGTGGAAATCCCGAGCCATAGTTCAAACACTTATCCCAAATCAAAATGAAGCACATATAAGATTAGTTGCAATATCATGTACAAAAATGGTGTTTAACGTTGTTCCCTGAGTAATACCTCAATGAAAACAACAACGAAAGCTTGTCACGCAAGTAGAAGGAGCACTGTTGGGCACTTTCTGAAATATTTCAATAGTATAATTCCCTTGCAAACCCAAATAAATCTATCTGCGTAAAAATAAATAAAATAAGAGTTATTTGCGGCAAAACCCGCCAGTATCGCACCCAACGTCAGTGCCTATACGTAAGCGTACTACAACGCGGCTTTCAAATAAAGGAGTAACAAGTGTGATACTATCACTTCAGGCTAGAACTTTGGTTCTCTTATGCAATAGTTCATCAGAAAGGGGAAGCTCAGTAATCCGTCTCCAACGCTCCACTATGAAGCATAAGATTAGGCCCGCCCACCAACGTCCAGGTTAAAAAACTAGCCAAGGGGAGGGTGAAACGTTTTTATTTTTGTAAAAATATTGGGAAAAATTATCAAATATGCAAGTTTTTTCCTTAGATTCATGAGAAAATTTACATTTAAAAATATTTTTTTCTATCACATCATAAAAAACATTGGACCCTCAGCAAAAGCGAAAGGTTGATGTTTTGTGATTTATTGAGTCCAACTAAAGGGTGATACGGTTAAAATTTGGTCAAGGGAAAACGCGTGTAAATCGGTGAAATCGTTTATTTAAAAAATCAAATTAAATTTCTTTTTCAAGTTCAATTAGTATAAAATTCAGGAAAAATATTCAGTTAGGCTTCCGCTTTTCCAAATCCGAATTGCCGGGCCTTACGCTTGACCCCTGCCATCAGATTTTGTACAGCCACCTTGTCCACCTTCTTCGCCGCAGAAAGCCAGTTTGCCTTGAACTGCTGCTCGCCCTTAGCAGTTTTTTTGGTCTTCTTTAGGTTCCGCTTGACAATAGCCCAGTATTTCTCAATTGGGCGGAGCTCTGGCGTGTTGGGAGGGTTCTTGTCCTTGGGAACCACCTGCACGTTGTTGGCGGCGTACCACTCCATGGCCTTTTTACCGTAATGGCAAGATGCCAAATCCGGCCAAAACAGTACGGAACAACCGTGTTTCTTCAGGAAAGGCAGCAGACGTTTATTCAAACACTCTTTCACGTAAATTTCTTGGTTGACAGTCCCGGAAGCTATGAAAATGCTGCTTTTCAAGCCACAGGTACAGATGGCTTGCCCTTCCTTTTGCCGTATAAAACTCCTGTCCCGGAAGCTGCTTGTAGTCGGCTTTGACGTAGGTTTCGTCGTCCATTACCACGCAGTCAAACTTCGTCAGCATCGTCGTGTACAGCCTCCGGGATCGCGCTTTGGCCGTCGTATTTTGTTTATCATCGCGATTTGGAGTCACTACCTTCTTGTAAGTCGATAGTCCGGCTCGTTTTTTGGCTCGATGCACGGTTGTAGACGATACACCCAGCTTATTTGCGGCATCTCGGAGAGAGAGGTTAGGGTTTCGCTTGAAACTACCGGCAACTCTCTTTGTCGTCTCAGCGGCTTCCGGTTTTCGATTTCCCCCCGATCCAGACTTCCTGGCTGTCGACAAACGTTCCCCAAACACTTTAATTACATTTGTAACGGTTGATTTGGCAACTTTTAGCGATTTTGCCAACTTTGCGTGCGAGTAGCTCGGATTTTCGCGATGCGCGAGCAAAATTTTGATACGCTGCTCTTCTTGCTTGGACGGCATTTTGACAACTGAAGAGTGAATTGCAAAATCAAAATAGGAGCAACATTCTACACACACACACCTTCAAAATGAGGGGTGTTCAGGTTTTTTAAATGCAAAATTGAAAGAAATACGTCAAGTTGATATTGACCAAATTTTGACCGTATCACCCTTTATGTGCCATGATGACTTACAAAAAATGTTTTTGCACGTGATTTTGTTTTGAAATATTTTAGAAATATAAAAACGTACCATTTTTTTCGAAGCGGCTTAATAGGTTTTAAATTCCAATTTTAACATTTTTAACCGAGAAAACCGAGAATAATCCCGAAATCGAGCAACCATGACAATTTGAAAAATTATAGCATCCTTAACATGTTTTGTATACCTATTTTAGTCTGAATTTATTTTGAAAATTTGTCTGGGTCTAGGATTTTAGATATTTTTTCAAAGTTATATTTTTTTCCGTCGATCTTGTTTTCCGTCGATCTTGTTTTCCTTGCACCAATGCTACCAACGTCTGGGAGGCAGCTCCCATACCTGGACTCTACCTATCGACCCATCAACTCATGAACCGGGGACCAACGGCTTTACTTCCCTTGGTGTGATCAGAGATGTTATGCCTCAGAACATCCCGGCGGCGCAGACTGGGATTGAACCCATTGAAGTGGCACAATCTTGAAATGTTTAAATCAGTCCATGAACTTTTAAAAATTGGTCCAAGTCTGAGATTTTGGAAACTTTTTGGAGTTCCAGGATCTG